GAGTTCGTTTGCTCAATTCCTAAAGTAGCCGCTTAGAAAATACATATTCATTATTAGAATGCTGTTCAGAGATTACTTCTCAGATGGTTGCTTATAAATTTTATCACTGAGAGAGACTTTTAACATTCCATCACTGCGTCATGAACCGTTATCGCAATGCTTTGATCACAGATCAGTCAGTTTACAACACTTTTGGAATTATATTTTCACCAAACCATAGTTATGAGGAATTTTCATAACATAGAATTATTATATGATCAAAAAATTACACAGATAAGTACCGCTCTCTGTCTTTTATTCTATTGAATCAATTTTCATCACTTGCAAATACCAGATAAAACCTCGTCCAGTAAAAATAACCAGATAAATGTTCGTCCAGTAATTTTAAAAAGAAAATATTTTCTTACAGGAATATTATTTTTTTTTAGTTCATCTAGGTCTGCTATTGAAGCAAGAATATTCGAAAATATCATCGAGTAATATGTACCAGCGTAATTTTATAGCGTTCTCTCACACCGTTTTGACATTTCGTGGATACATTTCCATGCATTGACTACATTTGCTTGATCAAATCAGTTACAGAATATATTAACAACAAATAAAAAAATATAGTATAGTAGCTTTTAGATAAGACGAGAGATCATGTCATTATACATTATTCAGTCATTGTGCGTTCAGCCATAGCTTGGCAAATTTCTGCTACGTAGAAATTTTCAATGTGTTTAGTATCCTATTGTGCATTTAGAATTGTCCGATGCTAAACAGAATAGAAGAGCAGTTTCATTCATGTTAATGCTGCATCATGTACGCATTATATCATGAATGAGGTTGTAGGATAAAAGAGAATACTTCAGTAGTAGAACAGTAGAATACTTGAATGCTAAAATGCCTGAATAGCAGAATACTTGAATACTAAAACACTTGAACAGTGAAATAGTAGAACTATACAATAGTAGACTAGTAGAATAGTTCAATACTTAAAAGTAGAAAAGTGGAATAAACCCCCTTCCATAACAGAAGACCATCCCCTATTAGAAGACTACTGCCGAGTATATGACTTAAAGGCCAAATAGAAGACCATGGTCTTCTATTATGTCCACCAAAAAACTCAGAAAATGCCCTATAGGGTAGTTTTCAAAAAAATTTCGCCAAAATGTTCTTCTAATAGGGCATGAACTCTGTACAACTTCGCTCAATTTAATCTCACTTGTTTATAGTAGAGTTTTTAATATTTTATTACTCAATAATTTGACTAAAAGAAAACTAAATAAAAGGTATGTCTGAACTAGACTACAAAAAATGTACATACTGATCGAAAATAAAAGTTGGTTACGAGTTAACTTTTTGTAACTAAAGAAACAATTATCAATAATGAAAATTAAATTATAACAATTATTGTTTTCGTACCGGAAAACAATAACGGTTAATAATTTCGATCCGAATCTTTTCTCTAAATAATTTGTGCGCTTAAAGTACGAAAGTTGAAATATAGGAAGGATGAGAGTGATGGATGTTTTCTACACATGGAGTACAGCCATTCGGAGTAAAGCAACAACTACACTCTCATTTACATGGAACGCGCACACAAAAAGGTTCGGGACTGTATTACACGTTGTTTCTAGTATTCATATAGTTACAAGCTCATTGATCCTTACAGCCGGATTAAGATTTCCATATATTTTCCGCAGTTTTCATGTAACGGGGCCTTCGTGACTGTTACATCTCCTCCCTACCTAGAGAGAGAAGATTCGACCTCGAATCAAACTATTCCCAAAAACTGCGAACGTTCACACTATAGAAAAGGGTTTGTTCGCGTTACATAAAATTAGAAATTATCAACTCGGAGACATAAAACTAGCTATACAATTGACAGTATTTGATGTTTTTATTTTGGTTTTGAAAAAGAGAGAGGAATAAAGGGAAAAAGAAAGCATGTGATCAATATCGATAAAAGAGTAAAATGGATGAAGTGTTGAAAAGTGACACATTCATATAAGGTCTTTCTGCTGTCACTTCTCACATAAAATTGAACACATTCTTTACCTCTTCTTATCAAAATATAATTCGTTTCATCTCTTCCGCTAACTTGTGATCTATCGGGTATAATGAACGCACAAGAAATGACGGTACAGAAAGAATTATTAGCTCAACAAATTAACAGTGTGGGATCCGCCGGTCGTCGTTTAATTGTTTTGTGTCGTGACCAACGTATTGCTGCATATCTAGCAATTCGTTATTCAACACTGAATAATCGATTCGGTCTTGGATTATTTAGTGACATACATTATGGTAACAACAGAGTTATTGTTGTCACCACTAATTATTTATTGACACAACTAATCGACGACAATGACGAAACTTTTGTGTTCCTTTAAATGTGGTTAATGTTATTATTTTTGAAAATCTGTCGTTCGAAAACTTTCTCAAAACGAACGCAATGTGTTTTTGTTGTTTTATTTCTTTTTGCGTTTTACTTCTTAATCTCGACTTATAAAGAAGGAATTTGAAATGGAGAGTAATATGGTCTTAAGCGCTCAACATGTACTACTTCCAATGACGTGCGATCCCAGGCACGTCGATCACTTTGAGCGTAAGCTCTTATCATGATTTTGAGTGTAAAAGGAAGATAGTGTCGAAATAATCGCACAAGGTCGCTCATTGAACTCTGACGATCGATTATTGTGTTTCTTCTTATCCTTCGAGCACACAAACAAATTACTAAAGGTAAGTAAATGATCAATCAACGACCATTGTGACTATGTGGAAAGAAGATTTGTTTTGAAGAGGATGAAAGTACCATAATGCACTACGTCTCCTCTTCGGGAATGAAATGATTTGTGTGCGACCTATATAAGGACTAGTCATGAGTATGAGAGCGCACGTGATCGATAGCATTTTATGATAGGACTCAAGATCATTGAAAAAACGTTTGATTGATTATTTTGTTTTATAGAATGCAGATGAAAATCATCCTTACTTACCTCATGATGCTGTTGGGATTTCTTGCCGCAATCGTACAAGTTAGTGGTAAGAATTTTGTGCCACCAACAACCAGTACACGCGCACCACGTCCACGCCCACCTCGAATCATCATTCCACTTCGTGGCTAGTCGCTGCGTATTATACGCTCCATGTGATCATTACTACCTAAGAACTTTGCTATGATGTTAGCCTCTACTGTATCCGTATCGTTCTTCAATCAATAAATCTGTTCACTTCATGAATGATTTCTCGCTGAAATGGTGCTATTTTAACATCTATATGTGGTAAACATAACCGTTCGGTACTGGTGACCGAACACTCAGTGGAGAAGTTCACGAGATGCATTCGCAAACGACTGAAAATCTTTTTGCTTTGGTGCTGTTCCAAGGCAAATGAAGCTATCGGAATAAAAACGAATTCCTCCTTGCCCTTTCAAAGAAAATGAATCTATTCATCTGAAAGATCGGCATTCGTATAAACCAGTGATATGATATGCACGTAAAGCAAAAACTTCGATAAAAAAATGCTCATCAATATCTGCGATGGTTGAGAGATCAATTAACACAGCCACATTTAATTGTACATATGATAGGAAATTCATAGAGAAATGGCTTAATGTGCATTAATCAAAACGAACGACACATAATGGCGAGACAGCACATCAAAGACAAGACGATGAAATATTGTCCCCCGAACCGAGAAAAGCAACGATGCGTGGTTGAATAGATGAGAGAGGTGAGAACTTGCCGATAGATACGATCGAAGTTTATTTGGGAATCAAGTCGTCTTTATCATTAATTCCACGTGATTCACCAGTTAAGCGTAAGAGTTTTGTACAAAGATCACTGAGAATGAGATATTTACCACTGGTTATTCATTGATGGTGTTTCGTTATGTATTTCCTCATTTAATGTGGGCTCTTTTATTCGAATTAAGCGTCGAAAATTTCAACCTTGATATAAGCTGCCATGACCGGTTTCGACCTTGCTTAAGGGTCCAATCAGATCATCAGACGGCATCACCCCATGAGAATCCGAACATTTCCGATGGGATCCAACCTTCGAAAACCGTCGGAATCTGGTCGGATCCGATCGGATTCCGACTGTCAAAAGCTACGACCTGGGGAGTGACGCATATACTTGCATCGAATGGTGGAAGATTTTCCCAGTGGCTCTTCTATACGATTAGTTTAAAATTGATTTTCAGCATATTTTGCAATAACTCAACATTTCTAGAATACACATAGTTGCAATTTGAGAAAATGATATCTTTGATATGCATGTGGGAAGATCGATCTACACTAGTTGATCTCAAATGAGTTTTAGACAGAATCTTTGGACGACACGATGCGCATTGATTGTTTCGTTTGTTGAAATTTTCTTCTAAATTGTGTGATTTTTCTATTCATATAAATATTCACACATAATACAGTTCATTTATTGAACAATAATATTATCTCAAGTCAAAATCATTTCCTTGACTTTTTTGTGTTTCCTAAAAGATAGGAAATAGACGATTGCTGGAATCTTGTCAGTGTATAGATCCATGTTAAATGTCAACCGGTTATGGATTGACTACATGTGTCCAAAACATGGATCCGTGTTCAGCTGTTTATTCAAAACAAGAAATCTACAGTTCGAGAGTCTACCATCACCGATTTTTCGATTCATAATATGACACACACCTTCGATATTTTTTCTTGATAAAGTGTTTTTCTTTGAGTCACTGTGTCGATTCTCAATGTCAACATATGCAGAGAACAGAAAAGAAAAAATTGTGCAATAGCACATTCCTTCGAAGAAGAAAACATGTGAATGCATAAAAACAAAAAATGATAGAAAACATGTCATCGACTTTCGAAATATTCCCCGATGAAATTTTAATGATTATCTTTAAATATTGTGGAGATGTTCAAACGATACTTCAAAAATTTATTGGATTAAATCAACGTCTCAATAGAATTTTGATCGATAAACGTTTACATCTCTTAACTGATTATTTATCTATCAATCCACGACATGGATGGATTCTTCGATGATTATTATAATTCTCTCGTATTTAATCAAGTTTCTCATCAGTTGTCATCGATAAATGGTACAATAAATGATCAACAACTTGGTCAATATTTTAAATTTTTAATCTCTTTTCATTTACGAGAACAATACAAACGATCAGAAAATGAATTTCAATCAAAAATGGAAATATTTAAAGCTCAACGTCAAAAACTCATCAATGACGAGATCATCAATTTAGACAATGAACTAAGTCAAATATTCAACAATTTAGATCAATATCCGACTAATATTAATGATTTAAGACAAATTCAATTTTTGGTTTTGAAAAGAGGTGCGTGTCTTGAATGTAGTGATTCTCAAAACGGTCCCTCTAATCTTGCTATGGCGATCAATCGATTATTACATTCTGATCTCAATAATATCAATTCTGGCAATAAATTATTTTTCCGTCTGAAAACTGAAATGTTCAAAACATTGATCATTTCGAATTCTCGTCTTTTAAATAATCGAGATTATTATATCTACACTGATGATACTGTTTGATTTTTTCTCTTCTATCATATCTATCGAGCACAATATCATCCCTGTAATGCACTTGTTTATTCTGTTAATGTCGAATGTTATCAATCTATGGTTAATTTACTTTTTTTACTTTACAATATCAAAGATTTCAATCCAATATCGAAGATTGGATTCAAGAAAGTCTTGTCTATATATTGAACATGACTCGTGCAATTGAAACAGTTAAGAAAAATGGAACGTTTGTTGAGATTGCTCAATGGGAAATCATGAATATTATAACTGATATTTATAATTCAACAGAAACGACATCATGGAACGACAATGTTAATGACGAATTCAAATCGATTCTTGGAAGACTAATTAACAAAAATCGTGTAGATGCTGTCCTTTTCATTTATCGTCATTTGTATCATGTTAGAGATTTCTTTAATCAGTCAAAGAATTGTCGAACTATTGTTGATCATATAACAGGAAATGAATTAGGAGGACAATTAATCAAAACATTCATCGACAAGAAACCATTGCAAAATTGGATTATTGGGAAAGATTTGATATTCATCTTGTTACAGAAGAAAGAACGGAAATTGTTGAAAAAATTATTTCTATTATTTCCATTTCTTGTTCATCAATTAGATGAGGATGGGAATGATCCATTACTTCACATTTGTCTCAAAGTTCGTGGTTGTCGACATCGGTTTGTTCAATTTCTAACCACAATGAAAGCTGATCTTCAAAGAATTAATTTCAATGGTGAAGACTTTTTTGGTGCAATTCATCTGGAGAGAAATCGAAAACTATTGAAAAAGTTGAATATGGAAGAAATCAATCATGAACAGAGAAATATCCGATTCATAGAGATCATTTCTAATGTGTAAGTGGTTTTCAATTAAAAAACAAATTGATCCTATCGCGAAACGAAAAAGACAAGTTCAATGTGCTAATCCCAATTTATGCAGAGTTATCAGAACAAACCTGGAACGGACCGAAGGGAGGGAGCCCATGGAGACCGGACTCCTCCCCTCCCACCTCAGCCAGAGAAAAATCGTAGAGGGTGCGAACAAAACTGTTTGTGCGCAGTGAGAAAACTTTTTTTGAGTTTAGAGACCCTTGTTTTTATTTGTTGACAAGAGAAAAACGGCGAAATGAAAATTGACGATTTTTAGGTTTCTCTTTTCCCGTTTTGCTACCATTGTCGAGAACCGTGATTGTGAGCGAATAGAAAATATTTTCCTCTTTGTTTTTTCTGTTAACATGTGTTTGTGACTGTTGCATGAATATCTGGAAAGTGGATTCCGCTACTTCTTTGAAGAAACAAAAACATAATCTCAATCCTTTAAGATTTCCTTCTATTCGTTGATTGATTCTGAAAAACTGTAATAGAAATAAAATAACTTCTGAAAATATTCATTTTCAGCAGGGTATCCTAACTATACAATGAATAGACTATAAATTTGTATCAATGTTATTTTTGTAAATGATATTTGATATCTAATAGTAAATAATGTTGCTTCTTCGTCTCAAACAGGAAAAGATTCAGTCCAATTTTAATTGTAATTCAAACGTCTATTTTGTGTATAGATAATAAAGAATCACTCGATGATAGTAACGTTTGCTGCTTGATGTCCTTGACGTCCATTAACAACATTAAATTGAACCTTTACACCACGATACAAAGATCGCCAATTTTGCATTGCTGAAGAATGCACGAAAATGTCTTCATCAAAGCCAAGACATTCGATAAATCCATAACGATGTTTGTAATTAAACCATATCACTTTGCCATGAAGTTTTCGTTCGCCCTTCACATGTTTGGGATCGACAGTATTTTTATCGTTCTTTGAAGAGTTTGTGGCTGATTTCATTGCGTTCAATGCTTCGATACTAACACGATCATTAGATTCCATCTTTCGCCATCGATGATTTTCGTATAGATTATTAATGACTTTTTGTAGAAGTTGTTCTTCATATTCATTGAGCGCTCTATTAGTATTATGATATGTATCATCATTATTATTCGGATTGATTGTATTGAGTGTGCCCGAATTCCATTTCCATTCGCCATGACGATATGAAAAGCCAGCGCCAACAAAACCCAGTTTTTTTTCTTCCAGCAGCCGAATATTGAATAAAACAGTTTACCATGGACATAAGTACCACGTCCACTCCTTTGTGGCATATTTTTTAAAATCCAATCCGATTGTTTAATATAGATATTACCTGTTCTGCAATGCACACCTCGAAGTGTAAAATTATTCTTGTCATCACATAAGTAGACAATGAGACCGACATAACCTTTCTTTGAATCAAAGGTGTGAGAACTAGGATGGATATGGATCGTGTCAATAACAATATCTGGTTTAGTTCGATCACTGCTTCGAAATCTACGAGTCCAATTATCATCGTCGTCCATAACTGGAAGACTCAATCCCTTGAATTCTATTGTCGCCATACTAAAATAAGGCAATAAAAACTCAGATATTGAAAAAGAAAAGTCTAAAGTTAAAATGTCTTCTGTCAAACATGAAAGATGAAAACGACGATATAGGAAAATGAAACTTTGGCAAGAGACTGTCACGAAGCAGCATCAATGTTATGTTATAAGTTCAAACGAAGAAATGAATCGCTCTTCAACAGTACAATCAGACTAAGACCATGTTAAAGCCGAACAGGTCGGGTGATAATTACAACTGAATTTCGGTTTAATTAGCTGCCTTACACATAAGACAGTTCATGTCTGTGTTACCTTCCATAACACACAGAAAAAGTGCGAATCAGCTTCGGAGATGGGTGAAACTTCTATTCAAGACTTACCTTACACTATTCTTTAAATAATTTGTTTGAAAACTTGTGGAGGTGACTTTAAAGATTAAATTCCAGTTTGTTTGTTACCTTCACCTTTTTCAATAGGTACATCAGGCATGGTAATCACTCACTTAATTCAAGTCATTTTAGTTGCTCTGTCAATACTGTGAAAAAAGCCATATATTTTCTTTTTCAGTTGATAATAGTGATCGAGCGAATAGAGAAGTGAGAGACTAGAAATGAAAAATTTATTCGCAAACTGCAGAAGCAGATAATGATGTGTGATCATGTGCGTGCGACTTCTTGTGAATGTTTGTTTAATGGAAAAGAGTTTCTTCACTCGTTTAATTTTGCTAAAAAGCCTCGAGTTGTATTTCAGTAGATCGATTTACTGTGAATTAAAGAAAAAACTGTTTTTGAATCACTCACTGTAAGTCAGATGTTTCTTTCTACATCACTCTTGCGTGCTGTTGTTCGTACGCGGTACAGTCACCAGAGTGAAACCAGATAGTTTATCGACTACATAATCATCTGGCACATGATACAGATATCAGACTATTGAACGTCACAAGTATGAAACGAGCATTACAGACATTTCGTCAAGCGTTAGTTGATTTGGATGCACTCTAGTAACAGTAGCTATCGTCATATGTTGCACAAATAGTTCAACATTTTTTAAATCAATACTAAATTTCAATTCATATGCTATAATGACTGACATCTTCTTTACTGATGTGGTACAAGGGTTCTCTTTATTGTCTGTTTTTTTTTGCGTACTCGTGTGTTTTTCTTTCCATCTACGCTTGAAACACCGTCTTTGCAATTGTGTGTTGAACATAAGTCAGGTCTCCATTTCAATTTTAGATCTTCTGGCAAACATTCTTTCTTGAAATGTAATAGGGACTGTTCCCTAATGGCGCCATCACTTTTTTAGTCATTTTGGACCCCTCGTCAGCATTTGTCGCTTTTTGCTAACCCCGATGGGGCATCACTGAAAAACAGTGTCAGTCTGCACCCCAACAGGCTTTATTGAAAGTGAGATGTGTTGGAGTGTGAAGAACGAGAGGTTGGTCGACAGGTAATGAAGATGTCGCCGTTTTGCTGAAACTCGTGCATCGTTCTAATCGAAGGAATTGTTCCCACAACGAAAAATTTCAAATTTCTTTTCATCGAAACAAATATCTGTTACCAGTAGCCTTGATGACTTCCGCACGGGGTTCCAGAATGTTTTCTTTGGCTTGATTGACGTCCTTCGTAGAATTCGTAGAAGTCTCTGGGTGTTGAAAGAAGCTTGTTTGATGCTCGAGTAACTCTGCGAGCAGTGTATTTTAATTTTAATACAGCGCCGATACCGTTACCAGCTCCTTTGCCATCGCCTGTCGTAGTGAATGTCCAGCAAGCATTCAAATCGAAATCGATCTTGTGCTTGATCAGGTTCAGCACGTTCAAGTTGTTTTTGAAATGACCACTTGCGTCATCACTAAAGAAAGAAAACAATCAATTAGTCTTTCACAACAATTCATGCACCGATTCTATCCGCCAGGATCATCATGAATAGAAAAGGTCCTCTCTTCAATGTTCTCATTTCAACGTCAAACATCACGAAAGAAGACTACTCACCTCACGTAGTTGATCTTCTTCACCAATGGAAAATTATGCTTGACAAACTGGACAATTAGTTTTTGGGCACAATAAACGAAAGCTGTCGATGTTCCATGCAATCACTTAGTATTGCCAGGTTACGATGCTGTTATCCGATGGTTAAATGGACTGTAAAGATTGTCACTTGATGTTGACTGAAGAATCCTTGTTGGACTTCACGTTGACGCATAAGAGTATAGTTCATCGAGAAATCGATTTGAGCGACCACGAAAGTTTTGATGATCGATTGGCTTCGAAGTTCCTTGATGTAATCACGCTGTTGCCGAGTGGAATATGCATGAAGCAGAAATGCAGACCATCTCTCTTCGACTCCAGTGACCAGGGAGTCGACCGAACCAGTCATGTGTTGAAGATCGAACTTGTTATTCACCTTCTTCCATATTGTCCATGAGCAATCATCATCGAGATCTATATCATTTCTGTTCATGAGATGCTCCTTTGGACATTGGCTGCATTTTTCATTGAAACAGTCTTCGATCTCCACAGTGCAAACCATCGAGGTAATAAGGTCTTTCAGATTGAACTTGTTTCTTGGTGTTGTGGTGGTTTTGTTAGAAAGCTTCTGGCAGTAGTTGTTGCAAGCCTAGTTTGAATAGAACGATCGGATCATTTGAGTAAGTCAGACAGCACCTACCTTGAGTAAAAGATCCATGATCTCATGGATGATACACATGCAGGTTTCATGGGGTGCTGCGATTTTCACTTCTCGAGGACGAAGAGAGCAAAAGGTAGATCTTCCGACAGCACCAGGAAAACGATCATCGAATATTCGAAAGGCATCCAAAACAGTCATCTTCAGGAAACGAACTGGAACTGGCTGCTTGTTGATCTGAATTGCGTCTTTCGAATTGGATGAAATTGGACTAATGCCATCTTCAGAGTAGAATCGGACGTTATCAATTGTTTCGTCGAATAGAGACACGTTCCCTCGTAAGCATTGTGAGTAGGCGAGAGTGCCATAATCTCGTCGAAGGGCAATTGATCGACGGACTTGATTTTGCTTTGAATCAAACCTAGTGAACAACAAGATTTTGAACATGAACTCCAAAAAGGTACCAATATCATCAAGCGATTCGCATAGAGAACTTACCACTTTTCCGTCTTTTGACGACCCCATATCTTCGGAGCTATGGTCATCAGACGAACTTGGTCTTGGTCAGAACCATTGCTGAAGAGCATCTTTAAACCATCCAAGAGTTCGTTCGACTCAGAAACCAATAGTCCATGTGGATTCGGACCACGCGAACACTCGTTTCCGCCTTCCAGTACATCGCACAACTGATGGAGCTCTCGATAAATTTCGTCGATTTTCAATCGAATAGGACAAACTGCCGACCTAAAATTGGATTTACGGTAGAAACATGAAGATCCAACGGAGAACCTACCTGTCATGAATTGGGCCTAAATTCAATAGCTTGAATACATGGGATAATTTCTTCATCGCCTCATCCTGCTGGTACGAAAGACTCTCAGCATCATCAACTGGTTCTTCATCCATAGATTCAACATCATTCTCGCTGTTGGTAATTGACACATCGTCATCATTCGACGATTGTTCATCACTATCTCCGTCACTCTCTTCTGATTCTCCGGTGTTTTTGTCGTCTTCCTCGTCTTCCACTGGGTGGTCCGAGGATAACTTGCAATTCCTTAAATTCCGACGATCAGGAGTTTCGTTGGTTGATCTACTCTACATCGCCTTTGTTCCACTAGAATGACATCTACGGCACAGCCACCTTATGGGAGACAGGACCAAATTGATTACGTAAAAAGTGCGACAATTCCAGCGAAACTTCTCTGTCACCTCTCGCGGCACTTGCAGACTTTTCATGTCTAGTCGGATGTTGGCAGTATCTTCGTCTCGGCACTTAGACTTGCTTGTGAAGAAAGGATACGAGAATGAAAACGATCATGATCTACTCGTATAAAATGGCCATGACTCACTTATTCTTCCTATTCTTTAACTGTCAATGTGAGAATCTCCCTTGCTAATGTCCTTTGCTCCTGCCAACACTAAGGTGTAAGCCGGAAGACAATAATGGAAGATTCGCCACGAGGTAATATTACACAAAAAACCTCCTTCATGCAGTGGTTGAGATGTTAAACACACTTTTCTGCGTGATTTGACCATACGGTTCCATGTTCCGAGATATGGCTCCAGAACTCGAATTTTCCCGCTAGAAGGACTATGCAATTTTATAACCAAAAATGTTTTTCAGTGATGCCTCATCGTTCCACATTGCGGGACTGCTCAGGAAAATTTTTTCCAAAAAGTGGTTGGCTCTCCATGGATCCACCCATTCATATATTTCAACTGTTCAAAAATTTATATCCAATATAATTTGGAAAATTCATAAAAGTTGTCATTTTCATGTGATCTCTTCAAAAATTGATAATCGATTTTATCTGATTATTCATTGAAGTTTTTAAATGATAAGGCTTAACGAAATGTTTTCTCAATTTTTAGCCCAAATAGTGTTTGTTCAGACTAAACAAGTTGAATTTTCTCTTCGCCGACGGCGAAAACTTTTTGAAAAACGTGCTGGAACACTGGTCCTTTTTAGTTTAGAAACGAAAGATTATTCGTTGAAGAGATGGCAGGACTAGACTTGCACTCAGCGTTGTCCAGTACCGTTCTGCGGAGCTCTTCTACGCGGTTTTTCTCACTTAGCTTCCTCAGACCAAGTAATTTTTATTAGCATATTAGGTAGTTATGATGGCCCCATCAGGCGTCCAGATCAGGCGTACCTCAGCCATTTGTTCAGAAAGGTTGAAATATAAGATAGAAGTAATAGAAGAAGTTTCAGACCCACTTTTGAGTCTTTCAATTGTTCAATCTAGATTTCATTTATTTTATTTTTCCAAAAACTTTATAGATAAGTTTTTCAATAGAACAAAAGAGCACATTAGAAAAATATCAACTTTTGATCCGCTATAGCTAGAAAGTTGGGACTTTCAGGTTCGACAAGGAATCCGATTAACATGCCGACAGCGAAGAGATTTGAATTCTATGTCAAGTCCTTCGAAATGTTACCAGAGTCACCACAATCAACGCGATTTTACCTCAGATGAAAATTACCCACATTTTTTATCCGCAAGGATTCCAGCCGCGAGACTGTGATATTCGGATCGGGCATGTCGAGAAACCTTTTTCATCTAAGTTTGAGCTTGAAGGCAGACAGAAAGTTTCAATCGAAATTTTTGCCTGAGGTCCTCCTCAGGTGTTTTGCCTAAAATTTTGGAAGAAAACTTTTTTTCTCGAGACACATTGAATTATATATCATTCGATGCAGTTTTCCGCGTAGATTCCGAATATCACATTGGTTTTGCATAAAAATGCTTTTGAACGTTTAAAAATTAAGCTTTTCACTTTTTCCGTTCTGCATATATAAGTTTGTGTTCACTGTGAAAAAGAAAATATATTTTTTTCTTCACTCTTTTCTCTCTTCCCATATGGTAAAACACGTTCTTATTTTTCTAGCGTGTCATCGATATAAGAACATTTAGTCGATTGTTATATTTTGTGATTTCAGTGAGAAAAGGTGTCTCTCGATCACATACTGATAATTTACCAGTATACGTCAAATTTTAAGCTCTATCCGAATTTGACTATTTGACACTTCGGAAACACGCACAATCTGGAATGCAGTACTGGAATAGTAACCAGTATTCACCAGTACTGTCACAATATTGGGCTGCTTCCCAACTATTGATACAGTACTGACATACTGACAGAAAAAATGCCAGTACTTGCGACATTACTGTATACCAGTACTGACAGATCAGTACGTGGACTAGGACTGTGATCGCAATTGTGCCTTAAAGTGTAGTCGCAATTGCGGCGTAATTTAGCAGCCTTAGAAAATACTAGTTTTTTCACGACAACAATCAATCACTGAATTAATTACTGATCGACTTTCTTGTCTATCGCCTTCCATTTTGTCCAGCTTGCCTTCTCATATTCGTCAATTTCTTCGCCTTCCAGTGAAACAGAAGATGGTGTTTTTTTGGGCGACACAGATCGCAAATTTGTGAGCAACAGAGTTCACTTGTCGAATCACACACTAAATTATCGATTAGATTATTCATTGTGACCGAGTGACGAACAATTCTGCTCCATGCCTATATTATTCAGAAACACCATCGAAAAAAGATTTTATATTCGAACTATAATACTAATCAGAAGTTAAAAATTGTGGTTCCAATTGGAAAAAATTCAAATCTTTCCATAATTTTCGATGTTAAATTATCATTTGACTGTGCTGAATGTACGGAAATGTTCACGCTTTCAGGCCAAATTCAGAAATACAGGACAATTCTTCATTACGAAATAATTCAGTATACATGGATCAGAGCCAAATAATTTTTTCTATTGCTATGCATTTCTGTAATTGGAATTTACCTTAAGCAGAAGACTCATATTTTCGTGATATAGGCAAAGGCAGACTTCATGGGGGAGTGCACGTTGACCTCTTTTGGTCGTAACTTGAAAAACTTTGCTCGGCCAATCACTTCATCAGGATGCTCAATCTGAAACGTCATGAAGGCTTGAGACACTGTCATCTCCATGAATCGCTTTGTCACTAGTTTTTTGTTGACTTGAATAATGTCCTTTGAATTTGATGAGGCTCGACTGAAGCCGTCTCTGCGTTAGAAATCAAGCCCCTTTTGCACAGTAGTAGGGTCGACGGGATTATTTCCACGACAGTCTATAGGCGAACCGCCAATGCCAAGGGTTTTTTGCAACTCGGTCGCCGCTGTTGCCTGGTGCTTTAAACATTTGACAAACTTTTCAATGTTATTTCGTCCCCATTCGACTGGCGCGATAGTAAGTAAGCGAATTTGCTCTAGCGGAGTGAGGGTGAGTCAAGCAAACCACGATCTAGACTTCAACCTTGCTTAAGGGTCTCATCAGATGGTTTTAACTCTGTTCTGTATCCGTTCAAATGATTTAAACGAAAATCACAAACAAAATACAAAGATCTATGCAGAAAATTTTTGGCAAAAGTCACAGCGTCCTAGTACAAAATAGCTAGTGACTATAGTTGATTGCTGGCTGTATGAGAATGTGTATAAAGGGTGTTCTAGAAGTTCTGAAGTAATTTTAGAATGATGCATTCTAAAATTACTTCAGAACTTCTAGAACACCCTTTATACATTTCCTAATCAACTGAAATTAATAATGTTTTATTTATGTATTATCTTAAAAGGAAAAACTAATTCATGCTTTCGCTACAGTTTGATGTAAATGATGTCTATATTTTTATATTTATTGATTATGATGGGAACAATGAGTCATTTTTTGAATGAGGTAATTAATTTGCCTTTTATATCTTCATTGATAGATAGTTGAAATTTCAGATACACAAACAACGAATGTAAATATGGAACTTGATGTAATTCTTTTAAAGAAGTGTCTATGTACACATATGTGCACATAGCTAATCGGCTATATACACTTGTGTGTACATAGCCAAACGGCTATGTACACACAGGTAGGTATAACCAACCTATTAGTAAATACGAAGTTATATCATAATCTTGTATGTATTTGTTTATTAATATAAATTAAATGTCTTCAGAATGATATAATGGGAATTTATATTCTCGATTTCGTTCTGGTTCAAGATTACAGACTTAAACCAAATTAAATGTCTTATCTTTTTGAATATTTTTTTTATTAATTCTTTATTACATACAAATAAAGTATAAATCAAGTGGTACAGTTACACAATTATAAAAAAAATTAAGTCAAATAAAGATCAACTAATTTAGAAGCATTTTTGGTGCTTCCTCTCTTTGGTTTTGAAGGAAATGGTTGAATTTCATTATTTTCAATACATTTAACATAATGATCACGTAAAGGTATCTGATCATAAAACATTAAAGATGCAACATCTGTATAACAAAGAGATGTAGCAAAAGCCAACGCAAATAATCCACAATCGTTACCACCAATTTGCTGTTGCACATTTTCAAATGAAACCAAAACTTTTTCTTCATCAGGTAAGATGTCTCTAAAAAATGGACTTATTGATTCTTAACGAATCATAAACTTCCCAAGGATTATTACAATCCAAATTTGAAATTGTTAGCTAGTGATTATTATTTACATCAAAAATAAAAATCGAGTTCTCCAATGAACCCGTGTATAGTTTAATTTGTGCAGGACCACACATACCATTAATATTTGGAAATTGGTTATGTAATAATTCAAAAAATAAATATATATGAAAATCAGTTAACCACGTCGTTTTATCATAAACATCGTGAATTGAATCTAATTTTTTATTCCGTTTAAAATTATATCTTTTTAAATCTGGTGAAGTTTGTTTATAAGTTATTTTTTTATTTATTCTATCTTGATTGTTTTTATTATCTTTTTCCTTATAAGCCACTAATGAAGCCTTGCCACGTGGTCTGCCTCGAGGCTTAATTACTGGAATAACTGAAAATCACTTTTTCTTTTAATAATAGATGTGCTTGTTCTTCCTTTGGTTCTGATTCTGATTGTAATTTTGGTAGCTGTTCGTTGTCTTCTTGAAAGGATTTTACATCGTATTCTTGTTCTAATTCTTGTTCTTGATTAAATTTCATAACATTTTGTTCTTCAATTTCGTCTTCTATATGGTCGAATTTTGCTTGTTTTGCTGTGGGTTCTTGTTGTATGTTAGGAGTGGCACATTTTCTTTACTGATGCATTACTTTACTGAGTAAAGCAACGCTTTCAAATATCACCGTATGAGTGACGAACAAGTGAAAAATAAACGCATCTCGTTAGTAGTTACTGGTAACGAGTAACGCATGCGTTACTCGTTACCAGTAACGCAATAACGCATGCGTTACTCGTTACCAGTAACGCAATAACGCATGCGTTACTGCGTTACCTGTAAAGAAACGGTAAAGCGCCACCCCTATTGTATATCATCAGGTAGATTTATAAATGGTTCTTGTTCTGTTTCTTGATCTTGCTGCTTGGAATATATGCGTTTTAAAGAATTTGCATAATTGTACAATTCTTTATGTTTGTTTAAACTAATTAAATTGACAATAATATTGAGAAAATTTAAATGCTCATTAAATTCATCGGTTCCGGATTGAATTATGCGAGCTGTTAATATATCTAAAGTTGGTTTAACATTATATTACTCGTCATTACTATTTAAAATTTTATTTTTTCGAGCTGTAATCTGAGTGACTATAAATTGCGAATCACAACTTTGTATATTATCATTATGATTGATTTCATTTAAATAATAATCAACTGAATTTTTTAACCATCGCTTGTTAAGTGAGATAATTTGTTGTATTTCATATGTTTGATCATATATCTCATCGTTAATTATATTAAGCAAGACTATCATATGACGACACGGTAACTGATTTTGTAAATAAAATTGACAATCACAAAATAATAAGCCTTCGTATGAATCGCGATAAATTACACTTGAAGTAATAAAATGCTTTTTTTCTTCGCCTTTTCGGCTGATTTCCCATCTATTATCTTCAATTTCTTCAATAAAATAATGTTTAAGTTTTATTTCTTCATTTTGTTTACGTAATAATTCAATAGCTTTGTTTGTCATTTGTGAGCCAAATCTCTTAACTAATATTGAATCATCAGTATTGTAAATCTTTTGTTTCAAACTAATATTTAAATTCATTTCTTCAGCTTGAATATCTTCAACAAGTAAAATGAATTTTGTAACGCATTCAGATATGTGCATTTTACATGATATATAATCTTTAAGTTTTCGGTTAAATCGTTCGAGATGATTATTAGTATCGGTATCAAAATTAAATAGATTTTTACGGTGTTTTGTTTGCCACATTTCGCAGCACGAGAGTCAATTTTTTCAAAATATTCGTAGAAATCAGTTTCCTCCGAATTATTTTTAATTTCTTTCAAATAAATAGCGGATATTTGATCATTATCGTATAGACCAAAACGTCTCCCTTTTTCGAAATTAATGATGGGTGAAACAACTATATCTGATAAAAAAGAAATTACGGACGAACTTTTTAAACACTATTCCGAGCAGTTTTCGGTTCCCATGTGTGATCCAACTAACCTTGTACATAAATAAGAAAGAACACCTGTGGAGCTCCAGGATTAATTTTCCTTCTACTTGAGCTAGTGCCATTTATCTAGGTTTCAATCGTTCGATCAGAAAGAGGAGAACCATTTCAACATGCTACCCGAAACCCCTTTTTGCTCAAGTTTGCAAAGTAATCCTACATACCAGACTGAATCGAAAGCCTTTTTGAAATCTAGAAAAATACCTCTAATTAGCTGATCATCTTACATTCCTAACTCGACTGCTATTAACTGATGCACTATGGAATCCCGATGATGAAAATGAGACTGTAAAGGTGTCAGGAGAGTTTTCTTAGTTAGGTAATCATATAGTCGCAAATAGACTACCCTTTCTAAAGGTTTTGAAAAAGGTACACCGACTCTTCCGCGAACTTTTCCCGCGAATTTACCCTTCCGCCAATGAAATTCTTTCCACACTCAGTCTCACGCTGCTTAGTGCCACCACAGTTCTATTCACGAGAAGGTCGTTTCGCTAAAAAGCCCATTCGCGGATGAGTCGTGTCACGTTTGAAAAAACATGAAGTAAGGTAACGGGCCTATAGTTATTTGGTAACCGGTGTTCTCCGCTTTTAAAAAGCGGAATAATTTGTCCTACTTTAAATGGGGGTAGAAAGTGCCCTTCTGAAAACGACTGGCTGCATATATCAGCTAGCGAGCTTCAGTGATTATATCACTAGATTTTTCCACTATTTTACCTATAACATCAGAGCTAGTAGCTTTATTATAATTTGTTTTCCGCAGTATTCACTCTATTTCATCTGCACAAATTTTCTCTTTAATAACAAATTTATGTTGAGTCATGGGAAGAGCCATGCATAAAAAGCAATCTAGTATCGTTTGATTCATCTAGATTATTGGATTTTTACTCGATTGCAATTATTTGGTAACGACGGCGAAACTCTGGTCATCGGCCGATTGCTAGATTTCTCCTCAGTTCCAACTATCGAGTTATCGCCACATTTTTAAAAGCATATGTTTCGAGGCTTCATGATTGAGACCACTTTTTTTTATGATTATTAAGTAGATTTAGAGAGCAGTCTCAATTTGGAATGCATATATTTTCTCGTTTTTCATACAAATAAATGTGATCTCAATTTGGAATAGAGCGTTTGTTCTTTTCACATACTTTGTACACTGTTTATAATTTCGAATCGCTTTTTAATTAGGAATGATTGGCTACTATAAATTTACAGACCGAAACTGATTGAAATATTTTTCAGAATTGATACTTAAAACTAAATTGAGCTAAGAGCGACATTAATGGATCGGGTGAGACTATAAAAATGAAGAGCATTATCTTGAAACACAATATTTCAATTCGAAGTTTTCTACGAATCTTATCATGTCTACAACTCTACATTTTTCTTGTATTAAAACTGAAAAAAAAACAGAATGGTATATTATATGAAAGTTACTTATATCGGTTAACGGAACTGAAAAATGAGTCTGTACTCGTAATTGTTGTTCGTGTTCAATAACACAAGTCGACGAAATCAGTAGGGTTTGAAAAAGGCTCCTTCCTTTAGATGCTACATAGCTAACTTTGTTCACAATGCTCAGAAATACATCCTTGCGAATTTTCAGCTAAAAAGCTAAGGCAGATTTTTTTTAATACTAATTTGAAAATTTTTTAATTATTTTTTTACATTATCTTCAAA